CCAGTCCCAAGACAGCCTCTACGGTCAGCATGGTTCACCCAGGCCCACCTGCCATTACTTTTCTTTTTTGAGGCTGGGTTTCCAGCAGGAGCCCCTCCTCCTCCAGGGAGTTTCCCTGGATCCCTCCACCCTACCCCCCTACTGCCTCATTCTGGATGGCACTGCACAGCTGGGCATCCCATAGCACCCACCTCTCCTCATCCCTGTGCGGAGGCCTCGGTCCTCCCAGAAGCCCTGCTAAAGTGGACCCGGGCTCTCCAGGGGACCCCCCCATTCTATGAGAGGAGAGGGTTGGGATAAGAAGGGAGAAGAGAGGAAATGAGGCCAAGCCAGGAGTCACCGGGGCCGACTAGGGGTCCTCCCGGCCAAGGCTGACACCAGGGTGACCCACCCGGCAGGCCAGGGGAGGGGCCCCTCAGAGGGGCCCACTGGGGCAGTCCCTCCAGGGCTGGGCAGCGTTCCTTCTCCAAGGAGTCCCTGGCAACGGAGGCGGGGGGTGCCCATTGACTGGCCAGTGAGGTCACAGAGCTCTGAGGTGTCCCTGGGGAAGGGAGCAAGACACTTTGAGGATGAATTTTGACCAGAAGGCTGTGAAATTCCTGGCAAATTTTTACATCAATGGAGGCAAACACTGGACCCATGGCCCCCTGAAGCAGAAGACACTTGTGTCATACCAGTAACTTCCCAGGGAGCCGTGGGTGGGCTCGGGTGTGTGTGTGGGGGGGGGGGGGGCAGCCCAAATGCAGTGGCCGTTGGACTGGTTGGACGGTGCTTGTCTGTCTCCCTTATAGGCCCAAGGCCTGTGTCTTGTTGCTGGGCCCCCCGCCAGGGGCCGCCTGGGAGGAGATGTGGACCCCTGGAGGGCAGGAGTTCCCACCTGGCCTCGGGATGCAAATGAGTCCCCCCCAGGAGCGTCCCCCTATCCGCACCCAGAACCTGAAGGAGCTGTGTGAGTAAGGGTCCTGGCTACCCCCTACCTCCGTCTGGTCTGGGGAGGCGGGCGAGGGGTGGGGGTGGGGGGGAGGCGCCTGCGGAGACTCTGGGCCCAGAGCTTGCTTCCTGCCAGTACTGGAGCGGCGCCCACCCATCGTGACCGACCTGCAGATCCCCGGCCCCACCAAGTACCAGGTGCCCGATGCTTCAATACGCGAGTGCTCCCCACATCCCCACTTCAGCATCGGCCGCAAGCACTCCACCCGCGGTGCGTGGCCCCTCCCTGCGCCCCTCCACACCGCTCGCCCCCTACCCTGGGAGTGGGGCTCCGGCTACTAGCCTTCCCTCCCCAACCACGCTGCCGCTACTGCAGAGGGCGGTGGCCGCAGGGCGTGGCAGACAGCGTGGTTCCAGAGCGAAAGCCCCTTCACACAGAAAGACGACTTTAACCAAGAGCAAAAGGTGGAGGGCCGGCAGGACAGGTCCTGTGGGGCGGGCTGGAAGATGGGGGCCTGAGAGGGGCGGAGGCCGGCCTGGGGGCGTGTCGGAGGAGGAGCCTGTGGGGGCGCGGAAGGGGATCTGCGAGGGGCGGGGCTTCTGGGGCGGGGGCTGTGGGGCGGGATTGGCTGGTGGGGGCGAGGCCTGTGGAGAGGGGGCTGGAGGAGGGGCCTTTGGGGGCGGGGCTTGTAGGGCGGGCGGGAAGGGGGACCGAGGGGGCGGGGCCTGTGGGGCGGACGGGAAGGGAGCCCGAGGGGGCGAGGCCTGCGGGGGCGGGGCCCGCAGGGGAGGCCTGTGGGGGCGCGGAAGGGGTCTGGGAGGGGCGGGGCCTATGGGGCGGGGGCTGTGGGGGCGGGTTAGAGGAGGGGCCTGCGGGGAGGGAATGGGCTGGTGGGGGCGAGGCCTGTGGAGGGCGGGCTGGAGGAGGGCCCTTTGGGGGCGGGGCTTGTGGGGCGGGCCGGAAGGGGGCCCGAGGGGGCGGGGCCTGTGGGGGAGGGTTGGAGGAGAAGCCTGAGGGGGCGTGGATAGGGGACCTGTGGGAGGGCGGGAGGGGCCTGCAGCAGCCTCTTTCCCCTCAGTGGCCATCGCCCTCGGACTATCAACCACTCAGCCGGCCTGCCGGCCCGGCCTTCAGCTTTGGGGGCCGCCGCCCCGCCTCCAAGACAGTTGAAGCCCGCTCCCGGCCGGGGCTGCTGCGGGCCGGGGGTGCGGGTTACCGTGCCCAGCCCCGGCTCCAGGCCCCTCCTCAGGCCCCGGGGGGCGAGAAGCGCCCAGGCCCCAACACCTACGACATCTCTCCTGGGAGCCGGCTGCAGAGCCACCGCACGCCCGCCTTCTCCATGAGCCGTTCAACACCTGCGTTCGCCTCCTGGGTCAACTCCTGTAAGGAGGCTTCTGATGACAGAGGCCAGGCCCTGGGAGCAAGACGGGGGACTCAGCCTGTGGGGGAGCTGGGAGCTGGCGCCGCAGCTTGGGTGTGGCTCCCGCCTTCTCTCTGCAGCCCACACTCCCGGCCCAGCTGCCTACCATGTGGAGGATTGCTATAACTCGCGCTTCCCCTCAGCACCTGGGGTGGTCATCCAGGGCGTGCGAAGACCCAAGCGCCATGACACAGGACCCTTCTGCACGCTGTAGCCCCTGCTGGGCTCAGCCGGCCGGCCGGTTATCCACGGAACCCTGGTCTCCCCGGGGGGGGGGGGGGGGGCCAGATTGGCCTTCTGACTCTCTGGGCGCCTCTGATGCCCCCTCCTGGCCGGCCAATCCCTCTGTGAGCTGCGGACAGCAAGGAGGGCCCAGCCGGAAGCCCTCACCTGCCCACCCCCTTGCCACACAGAGATGCTGTCGGTTCTTTCCAGCTCTGTTGTGTCTTTCGTGAGCTGTCCCACGGATGTGGCCTGCTGCTGACCTGCCACGTTTGGCTTTCCTCAGCCAGGGGTCTCCCTTTGCTTCCCCTTCAGTGCTCTCTTCTCTAGGGTGGGTGGGGTGGTGGCCTGGGACTTCCTGGCGGGGGACGGGGTGGGAGGGAGACCTGTGGGCAGTACAGAACACTCTCATCTAGCTGTGCTACCCGGCAGACTGGTGCAGCTGCCAGCCCACCCAAAGCCTGCCCAGCCACCAGAGAGGACCCAGGGGACCAGCTTGCCAGGGCCTGGCTCCACATCCTTCAGCTCCTGACCAAAGACCCTATGAACTTGCCTGGGGCTGTGCAGGCCACGCCACAGCCAACAGACTTCCTGGGCCTTCACTTGTTAGGGCCCTGCGCTTGCCCATGGCAGCAACCTGCCCTTCTACCCAGGGGTTGTCGCCAAGAGTGCCTCCCTCCGAGGGCCTCACTGCAGCTGGTGGTGACTGAACCAATTCCTCCAGGGATTCCCCCCTATGCCACCCAAGTCCTGGGCCAGAGCTTGACCCCTTCAAAAAGGCACTGCAACAGCTGCTCCTGTGGTGTGGACATCGCCCCATTCTGCAGGGGGGCCAAGGCCCAGGGGGTCTGAATGCAGCCCACCTGTGACCTCTTCTAGGGCTTGAGTGCCAGCATCCCTGGGAATCGGAGCAGTGGGACTGCAGATGGCCGTCCTAGGGCCCTGGGCTGACCAGCTCAGGCAGCAGGCAACAGAGACAGAGCTGTGAGAGCCCTGGTCTTGGGAACTTGGCTCAGGGGGCTCTGCTTGCGGCTGCACCACTGGCAACCCCTAGTGCTCAAAGTCAGAAGTGGGACTAGCGGGAAGGATGGAGCAATCCCCTGTAGCTGGGCTGAGGAGGGAGGGCTTCCTGGAGGAAGCAGTAGAGGAATTGACTTTTAAAGATGATCAAGGGGCGCCTGGGTGGCTCAGTCGGTTGGGCGTCCGACTTCATCTCAGGTCATGATCCTGCGGGTTCATGGGTTCGAGCCCCACATCGGGCTCTGTGCTGACAACTCAGAGCCTGGAGCCTGTTTCAGATTCTGTGTCTCCCTCTCTCTGCCCCTACCCGCTCACGCTCTGCCTGTCTCAAAAATAAACATTGAAAAGAAAAATCAAGAGTTTGCTGGGCAATGTGAGGGAATTTCTAGCAGGATAAACCTCAGAAGCCAACGCACACAAAAAGGGAGAGGGTGTGATGTTTGGCGTGGCCAAGCTTGGGAGGATTCAGGGCTGTTCGGATGAACAGAGGTGAACTGGTGAGGTGAGAGCCTGCAGAGGGCTGACTGCTGGGTCCAGGGGCTTGCACACTTAGCAAGGAGGAGCCGGGGTAGGGTGCAGACCAGGCAGTGGCAACTGACTTCGTGTGAGCTTCTTGCGCTGCAAGGGACAAGGGACATCATGACAGCTGAAACTTGAATTCGCAGTCACGATGGACACCTCAGCCTGAGGGCCCCCCACCTGGGGTGAACTTGGGGTTAGATGCTCATGGCGATGAGTATAGCCATCCTTGGTCATGACACCACTTTGCCCCCAGGTCTCTTTCTAGGTCTCTGTTAGGCACCTCTGGAGGCACACTTAGATTTTAGTCGCATTTGCAACAACCCTGTGCTGTGGACTTCATCCCTGTCCCGGTTTGACAAGGAGGGAGCCAAGTTCCAGGGAGAGAGAGGGTCGAGCACCTGGGGAGGCCCAGGGGCAGGGAGCTTCCGGGGCCGAATGCTCCTTTCCTTGAAGCAAAACTATTTTCACAGTCAAAAGGCTGCTGCTGTGAGGTCAACAGCAGGATTGCTCATGGTTATAAACATAAAATATACTTGGTTAAAATGCCAGTGCTGAAATTCGTAAAGCAGGCCAACCCCGCCAGCAGCACCCCTTCTCCGGTTCCCCCACCCTCAAGTGCCCCGCAGCACCCCGCTGTGCCCCCAGAGGAGGATGAGGTCAGACGCAGCACACGCCACGAGGTCCGGCCGCAAAAGAGCGGCGGGCTGGTGCCTCGGGGTTGGGGTGGGGCTCAGGTGGGCGGGATTCCCGTCGACAGCCCGCGCCGCGCCCGAGCACAGCTTCCGCTCACGTCCTCTGAGCTTGGAGCCGGGTGCGACGCCGCTCCCAGGAACCTCTGCGTGGCGATCGCAGTGTTTCCCGGGGACCGGTCGGTCGGCGGACCCGGCCTCGCAGGGCGGAAGTGGGCGGCTGCGGTGCCCGCGGAGCCGCGCTGCGGGCGGGACCTGGCCGAGCTGGAGGGCGCCGGGGAGCGGAGCTCGGGCGGTCCCCGAGGCCCGAGCGAGCGGACTTCGGGGGGACCTGCGGCGACCGCGCCGGCGTCAGGGGAGCGCGGCGGGGATGGGGCGCCGAGCCGGGCGGGCGCCGGGGCCTCGGCCATGTTCGCGGGGCTGCAGGACCTGGGCGTGGCCAACGGCGAAGACCTGAAGGAGACGCTGACCAACTGCACGGAGCCGCTCAAGGCCATCGAGCAGTTCCAGGTGGGCCCCGGTGGGGAGGCCGGCGATCTGGGCGTGAGTCCTGCCGGAGGCGCGGGGGCGCGGGGGAAGCGGGCAGCTGTCCGTTCCGCGGATGGAGGAAGCGGGTGCCCTGAGCTGGTTCCCCGCTGATGGACATCTGGTTGGGTACCGCGGGGTTTGCCGTTATGTATATACGTACCCTGGTTTGCAACCAGGGCTGCTGGGAGGCATCCTTGCCTTCTTAGGTACTCAGGGCATCTGGGGTGCTGGCCAGGTGTAGCAGCGACCCGAAGTTTCTGTTGTCGCCTCCCCATGAGCCCAGCCCCAATAAGTAAAATCGACCCCCCCCCCGGCCTCTGTTTCCTCAGACAGAGAATGGCGTGCTGCTGCCCTCCCTGCAGTCGGCCTTGCCTTTCTTGGACCTGCATGGGACACCTCGGCTGGAGTTCCACCAGTCGGTGTTTGACGAGCTTCGGGACAAGCTGCTGGAGCGGGTGTCCGCCATTGCCTCAGAGGGGAAGGCTGAGGAAAGGTAGGTGGGCAGGTGACATGTGCAGGCCCCTTCCCAGCCTTGGACCGGACTCAGCAGCACTTAGCGTTCCCTTGGCTACACACCCCCGTTCGAAAAGGGGGCCTTTACTCGAGTGCCCCGCCCGTGGAAACCTATACCCTTATCTGTCATCTGTCTGGGGACAGACAGCTGCTTCAGACTGGGTCCTGTGCTGCTCCTTCAGTGACACGAGCCTTTCCAGGTACAAGAAACTGGAAGATCTTCTAGAAAAGAGCTTTTCTCTGGTGAAGATGCCGTCCCTGCAGCCAGTGGTGATGTGTGTCATGAAACATTTGCCCAAGGTAAAAACCGTGGGCCCACATGCTCAGGGCGCTCTCTGCACGAGCCCTTACTTGGGGACATCGCACATGTGCTTCGTCGAGCCGGCACCTTAGCTCTGGGGGGATCTCGTGAGCTGCCTGCCCAAACCCCGAGCAGCCCTGGGGCGTGTTCTCTGTGCTGGCTTTTCTCTGACAAGCCACACGGAGACCGATGCCTGGTGTGTGAATTGGGTTGTGGGACCCATGGCGACTCGGCAAGAACTGTCTGTGTTCAGCTTGGCTGCTTACATCTGCTGGGGCCTGGGGTCCGGTCACAGGCACCCCTGTTGGTGGGTCTGGGTTGAGGTGGTTTCTGCTGGGGGAGCTGAGGCCTCCTGACCCGTCTTGAGGGAGGTCCCTGGGGCACAGGTGCGGCTCACAGGTGGCCGATATGGTCCTGTAGGTTCCGGAGAAGAAGCTGAAGCTGGTGATGGCTGACAAGGAGCTGTACCGGGCCTGTGCTGTGGAGGTGAAGCGGCAGATCTGGCAGGACAACCAGGCACTGTTTGGCGACGAAGTTTCTCCGCTGCTGAAGCAGTACATCCTAGAGAAGGAGAGTGCGCTTTTCAGCACCGAGCTCTCCGTCCTGCACAACTTCTTCAGCCCTTCCCCGAAGACGAGGCGCCAGGGCGAGGTGGGGCACGGGGCCCCCTGACCACCCTCTTTCCCACCCCCGTGCACATTTCAGTCGTTCTGCTCCTGGGAGGGGTGGGCTTGTGCGTGTGGTTGGGGGTCTTTGTGATATGGCGCCTAACGTGGACCTCTCTGGTTTTATGTCCTTGGTGCTCTGTGAGTCGGCAGGCCTTTCGGGTTAAGTTCATTGTGTCGTCCTTTGGCTCTGGGAAATGTTCTTTTTTTTTAAAAGATTTCATTTTTAATAATTTTTATTTGTTTTTTGTTTTTTGTTTTTTGTTTTTTTTTTTTGAGAGGGAGAGAGAGCATGAGCGGGGGAGGGACGGAGAGAGAGGGAGACACAGAATGTGAAGCCGAAGCAGGTTCCAGGCTCTGAGCTGTCCGCATAGAGCCCGATACGGCACTCGAACCCGCAAACCGTGTGATAATGACCGGAGTCAAAGTTGGACACTTAACCGACTGAGCCACCCAGGCACCCCTAAAGATTTTATTTTTCAGTTATCCCTGCACCTAATGTGGGGCTCGAACACACAACTCTAAGATCAAGAGTCCCGTGCTCTTCCACCTGAGCCAGCCAGGCGCCCATCTTTTCTTTCTATGTCGGATTCGTTCCTCACTCTGACAAGCGAATGTTTCTTGAGTTCTGATTTCCTGCCATAAGTGCCTGCACCCTTCGGTGACTCTGGGGGGTCAGGCTGTTTGCCGGGGACACTTGCAGTTCGTAAGGGAGCAGATGCTCCACGGTAAATGTCACATGCTGGGCACCCAGAGGAGTGGAGGGTCGAGGCATGAGGTCCCAGAGCAAGGCAAGGCAGAGCCGGGCAGCTTGGGTTCTGGGGGTGAGGAAGAGGAGCCAGGCTGGGGTGTGAGCACAGGCTCTGAAGGGGAGCAGGCTGGCTGTGTGGGAAGGTAAGGCTGATGTGGCTGGAACCAAGAACAAGCAGGTGAGTGCGTGTGTGGCGGGGGCGGTGTGGCGGGGGGCGGTGGCTGGAGGCCACCATGGACACTTTGGCTTTTCCCAGTGAGTTGGGGGGCCACTGCAATTGCCTGATGTGCTCCAGCATGATGGCTTAACGGCGGAGGCCACCAGGCCCGGGTCGAGTGGTGCGGGGGCGTCTTGCTGGTTCTTTGTTCAGCTTTCTCGCCTGGGGTTGTGTGTTTGGTTGAAGTGGGATCTGACCTAACGCTTTCTCCCCAAATCCGGCCAGTGGTTGTGGTGATACTTCCTGCCTGTGGTCTGTTGCTGCTCTTGTCGGCCTGGGTCCTTCCCACCTCTGCGGCCTTCACCACTGCGGGGGCGGGGGTTGTAGCAGGTGTGTGTGGCGCCCACGGTCCTCAGGGTGTGGGTCGGCCACTAGGGCCACGGCTCCGTGCCCAGCGGCCTGCGCCTTGCCTCCCGTTCGCGGCGAGGTGGGCCTGGGCTGTGGTCAGGGCAGGCACGTGTCCGCCCTCGTCCACACCGGAGCTGCCCGCGTGCTGAGATGTGGGTTGTGCTCCGGGTCCGCTCTGTGCGTCAGGGTCCCTGAGGCCTGCTGAAGAGGCCTTGCTGGGGGCCCTCGAGGTTGCCTGGCGGGCGCTCACTGCTTCTGTCCCTGCTCCCCCCTGCACGCACTGTGTACAGCCTGGTGGCTTTTGGGGCGCCGTGGCGTCTCTTACCCCAGCTCGTCCTGTCTGCTTCCCACCATCAGAGCAAGAGGCCTGCCTCCTGCTCACGGTCGCGCGGTGAGCCGTGCTCCCTCCCGCTGGTGGAGGCTGCTGGAGACTTCCACGCGGGGTGCGGGCTGCAGAGGCGGGTGGTCCCTGCCGAGGAAGGGCTACAGGTGCTCGACATGGGAGGACGCAGGGAGCAAGGCAGCCCTGGCGGGGCTACAGTGGCCAGCGTCTCTCAGCGGTGCCCCAGTGTCCCGTGCCAGCTGATGGGCAGCCCTGGAGGCTGGGGTCCTAGGCCGATGGGCTCTCAGGGTCTGTGGGATCCAGGGTGGCCACCACCTGACACAGAGCCGGCGTCTTGTGACAGAGGAGACTCTGGGTACGGCCCGCACAGGAAGGAGTAGAGTCGGGCTGGGGCGGTCCTGCCCCCGCGGCCGTCGTGACCCCGAGGCGCGGGTCTCCTCCCCCAGGTGGTGCAGAAGCTGACGCAGATGGTGGGGAAGAACGTGAAGCTGTACGACATGGTGCTGCAGTTCCTGCGGACCCTCTTCCTGCGGACCCGGAACGTGCACTACTGCACGCTGCGGGCCGAGCTGCTCATGTCCCTGCACGAGCTGGACGTCGGGGACATCTGCTCCGTGGACCCCTGCCATAAGGTGGCGCCCGCCCGCCCCGCCCCCTTCCCTCCGGCTCCTCCCCCTCCCTTCGGCTCCTCCCCCTCCCTCCGGCTCCTCCCCTTCAGGGCTCTGGCCGCCCACCCACCCCGCCCGTGGCCACGAGCCGTGTGCCAGCCCCCACACCCCCTCTGCCGCCCAGGCTTAGGGGCACCTGAGTCAGAGCCACCGGCCCCGCGTCTGCCGTATTCGCCTGCTGTTTATTCCCCTGCTGTAGCCTTCCCTGGTCTTTCCTGGGCCACTGTCCCTCCCCCGCTCCAGAGCCCTCAGGGGCCTCTTGTGTGCTCCAGGGATGGGGCTTTCTGTGCCGCTGTTGTGTCCCGCACGGATGCTGTGCAGCCCCAGACAGCGTTAGGTCCGGGGGGCTGTGCGGCATCAGGGTCCCGCAGTGGGGGCTGCCAGGGAGACCCCCTTGAGAACAGAGCACAAATACTGCCTGCTCCGAGCACCACCTGGCCTGCTGGGGATGTGGGACCTCAGGCCTGTGTGTCTTTTTGCTGTACCGGCCCGGACCATGTGAGGCTGCGGGTCCTGTTGCCGACGTGAGGCTCGGGGTGGTGGCTGCAGCTGAGCAGTGACCACGGGAGCCGTCTGGAGGCCGCGGTCTCTGACCGTGTCCCGGCTGTGCTTCCTCCCCGCAGTTTACCTGGTGCCTGGATGCCTGCATTCGTGAGCGGTTTGTGGACAGCAAGAGAGCCCGAGAGCTGCAGGGGTTTCTTGACGGCGTGAAGAAGGGGCAGGAGCAAGTCCTAGGGTAAGGGTCGGCCTTGTGCCGGTGCCCCAGCCCCCAGGGTCCTGTCCACAGGTGTCCGGATGAGCAGGCTGTGTCTGCAGTTGCTTCCAGTGTGGTTTAGAGCTGCCTTGGCGCTCGTGCACACGGCTGAGACCTGGCTGCTGGGGCCAAGGCTATCAGAGTTTCGGTGAGCCGGGGCCTGACTGCGACCGGGGTGGGTGGTCAGCGCCGTCCCGGGGCCGCCGTGCTGGCGGGACCGGCTCTGTCGAGCTCTCTTTTGCAGCTCTTTCTCTCTGTGACCATCTCTGTGGGGCCCTCGTGAGCTTACGGCATCAGGGGCAGGTCCTCAGAACCAAAACGGGGGCTTAATTTTTTAAAAAACCTTTAAAGCCCTTCAGTATTTTGAGCAAGTTAAGGATAAGTTCCGAACATCAAGTTTTTGTGCCGAAGAAGCACGGGGCGGGCGGGCGGGCGGGCGGGCTTGCTCTGTGCGGAGGGGCCCTCCCCCCAGGACAGCGGCCAGGGCAGCCCGCCCGTGGCCGCGCCATGTTGACGCAGTGTGCTCATCCTCACAGGGACCTGTCCATGATCCTGTGTGACCCCTTTGCCATCAACACCCTGTCGCTGAGCACCGTCAGGCACCTGCAGGAGCTGGTCGGCCAGGAGACCCTGCCTAGGGTGAGCGCGGCGGCTGGCTGCACGCCGCCTTCTGGGTGGGTGTGTGGCCAGGCCCGTGCCGGCCGAATGACAGCACTCCCGATGGGCGGTGGGTGCCGTGGGGGCTGCGGGGGAAGCCGAGGCGTTTGGCCGTGGCACTAGGACCCTGCCGGGCAACGAGCGATTTCAGTGGAGGGGAGCCTTGGGTGGGCACGTGCTGAGGCCTTTTGGTTTTCCCACAGGACAGTCCCGATCTCCTGCTGCTGCTCAGGCTGCTGGCGCTGGGCCAGGGGGCATGGGACATGATTGACAGCCAGGTCTTCAAGGAGCCCAAGATGGTAACGGGACGAGGGTGGGATGGTTTCCACCGCTTCCTCCCGAGGGTCTGTGGGGCAGGGTCTGTGGAGATCAGCAGGGCGGGGTCTCGGGAGGTGGGAAGGAGGGACAGGCCCTCAGGCTGAAGTCGAAAAAGGTAGATGCAGGGAGGCGGGCGAGGGGCGGGGTCCCTGCAGGACAGAGGTGGGGCTGTGCCCGACCGCTCCTGGGTCTTCTCTGGCGTAGGAGGTGGAGCTCATCACCAGGTTCCTGCCCATGCTCATGTCCTTCGTGGTCGACGACCATACCTTCAACGTGGACCAGAAGCTGCCGGCCGAGGAGAAAGCCCCGGTTACGTACCCGAACACGCTCCCGGAGAGTTTCACCAAGTACGGGCCCCACAGGCACGGGTGGGCGTGCCGCGCCCCCGCCCCCCAGCTCCCCACGGAGGCTGTGCGGAGGGCGTCGCCCAGGGGTGACCTGTCCTTGCGGGCGCAGGTTCCTGCAGGAGCACCGCATGGCCTGCGAGGTGGGGCTGTACTACGTGCTGCACATCACCAAGCAGAGGAACAAGAACGCGCTCCTGCGCCTGCTGCCGGGGCTGGGTGAGTGCGGGCAGGCCCCGTGCCGGGCCCCGGGCTCCTGCCCTGTCCCAGCTCCGAGGGGCTGGCTCGGCGCGCTTCTCCGTCTTTGTCTTCTGGAGGTGGTTTTGGTGCAGGGGTAGTTTGGTAGTTTCTCAGCTTGGTAGTTTCACGGACACCCTTCGCCATTGTCACCGTTTGTGAAAGCATCTTTTTGGCTGTGGGGGAAAAGCTACCGTGATTTGCTCCTAACTGGCGAGGGAGGTGGAGCCCCTCAAGGCCTCAGACGATTGAGAGAGCGCACCCCCGACGGTCTCTGGCCGTGTGGGGCCAGGGGGCCGGTTGCTTCGTGGTGGGGCCCGAGTGGACCCCTTCAAGAGTAAGCTGCAGGTGGAGGCAAGGAGAAGGGTGTTGGGGAGCACCTGGCCTTCCCATGCTTGCCCAGACCCAGGGGCCTCTGCTGGCTCGGCTCCTGTCTGGGGTGTTGAGTCTGCTTCATAAGGATCCTGCACGTTCCTGGCCAAGTGCATTTCTGGGTCACTGACGCGTCTGAGGGTGGTGCCCGTGTTACGTTTCCCGTGTTTTCTTTAGGAAGGAAGCTATTTGTGCATCTTACTTCGTATCTAGTTTCCGTGTACGTGAACAGCACGAACTTATTTTCTTCTCGCTCTGGAGGCCGGAAGGGTGAAGCGAGTGTCCCGGGGCTACAGGCAAGGTGTGGGCGAGGCTGGCTCCTTCCGGAGGCTCTGGGGAGAATCTGTCTCCTGGTCTCCTCCAGCTTCTAGGAGCCGCCTGCATCCCGGCTCCTGACTTTGTCTCGCGGTTCACCCTTCCAGCTCCTCCCGCCCGCACATCCCTCTGAGTCTGGCCCCCTGCCTCCCGCCTCCCTGTGATGCTGTCGGGCCCACCTGGGTCATGCGGTGTCGTCTCCTGTCGTAGGGCTTCTTTCCACATGAGGTAGCGTGTCCACATGTAGAAGCGTCACAGGGCCACAGGGGCTGGAGCCTGGAGACTTCCAAGGGTGCCGTTTGGGTTTGTCTCATCGTTCCAGTTCGTTTCAGTACCTTTGTTTCTTTCTCGCGTCTAACGGTGTCAGCTAGGAGCGGGGTGTCCTGCCTGCGTCGGGAGCATCCGGTGAGGGAGTGCTCCTCCCTCCCTGCCTCCGACACTGTGTCGGTGTCTCCCAGCCACGCGCTGCTGCCCAGGACGCTGGGACTCAGATCTTTTCTTGTGCTCAGGATGGGTACGCTGTCCTCTTCTGCCATTACCGGGTGCTAGTAAGATCAGATGTCAGTTTTAAAAATTCCTTTCTGTTTATTTTTTAGCTTTTTATCGTGGGGGTTTTTGATGACGTTACAAGCAAAGAGCACAGCGTGGTGAAGCCCAGTGCCTCTCACCTGCTGCATGGGGGTCCGTGTGCGCCGCTCGTCCCCCGGATGATGGTCTGGACGTAAACCCACGGAGGACTTGACAGGTGTCTCTACAAAAGAATGGTGCTGTGGTCACATCTGGGTCCAGGGCCCGACGGTGGCCACGGGTCTCTCGTTGTCACGTGACATTTGATGTGGGTGGTTAGTTCAAGTCAGGGCTCCAACTGGCGTCTCCCCTCCACCCTCGTGTCCCCTTGCTGCCTTTCGTATTTCTCCTTGTCTGGAGGGTTCTGTGGGAAGGGTTGGAACCAGGGCATTTGTTTCCCATTAGGGACTTTGCTGGCAGTGTTCCCTGGGGTGGCGACCGTGCCCTTGCCTGAGTGTCCTGTAAAGTGCCCCCGGCCGTGAGGTCACATGTGGCGGGGGCACAGCCCGGCTGCATCTGATGGTGCCCGGGCCTCCCCGTGGCATTCAGTGGCGCCTGGGGCTCAGATAGTGCCATGGTCACAGCTCCCTGTCAGCACTTCTCTAGTGGCTGCTGGGGCACTTGTGTCCCCATGTGTGTCCCCCCCCTCCCCGTGACCTGCTGCCCTCCAGCTGGGTCGTGGGCCTTGTTTGCTGTGCACTCTGTCTCTGGTCATCAGTGAGATACGTTGGTAGTTACCTTTGCTGATTATTTTAGTTGTTTTTTAAAAATTTTTTTTTTGATTATATTAGTTTTTGGAGTCTGTGCCTTCAAAAAATGAAAATTTTTCCTTTTGTTGTCTTTCTTCTAGAACCACGTAGCTCGCAGTCTGGTAGAACTCGGGGCCGGTGCCGTGGCACTTTCCTGTTTCTTTTCTAGTTCTAGTCTGTTCAGTTTCTCCCTCTTCTCGAGTCCACTTAGTCCAAAGTCCCTTGGCCATGGGGCAGAGCCACGGGCAGCAGGCTCCCGTGCCCTCCCCACCCCGACCCTCACCCCCACAGCCCTGCTTCTCTGCCTCCGTGGGGGCCGCTGGCCGCCCCTGCCTCCTCGTGGTGCGGGCCCCGGTTCTGGCTGCGGGAAAACCGGGCACCCCGTCCTCAGGGGGCGCTGCTGCTCCGCGGCCTCCCCGTTGGCCCATCCAGGGGCGGGGGGCGGCGGGCTGAGCGGGGCTGACACCTGTGTTTGCAGTGGAGACCTTTGGCGACCTGGCGTTTGGGGACATCTTCCTGCACCTGCTCATGGGGAACTTGGCGCTGCTGGCCGACGAGTTTGCCCTGGAGGACTTCTGCAGGAGCCTCTTCGATGGCTTCCTCCTCACGGCCTCGCCCAGGTGCCCACCCTCCGCCTGCACCCTGAGGGGCTCGGGCGCGCTTGTGGCACCTCCGGGCGGGCGGGGGCGGGGGGTCAGGGGGGAGGGGGTCGGTTCTGGGCTCCGCCCACCCGCCGCGCTGCTGTGGCCTCTTCCAGGAAGGAGAACGTGCAGCGCCACGTGCTGCGGCTCCTCATCCACCTGCACCACCGGGTGGCCCCGTCCAGGCTGGACGCCCTGCGCAAGGCGCTGGAGCCCACGGGCCAGGTGGGTGCCCTGCCCGCGGCCTGTGCCGCCCGCCCCGCCCCATGGGGCCCCGGGGGGGGGGGGGGGGAGGGACTGCCCCGAACCCCGCACTTTCCCCCCTGCAGAGTGGAGAGGCCGTGAAGGAACTTTACTCTCAGCTCGGTGAGCGGCTGGAGCAGCTGGAGCACCGGAAGCCCAGCCCGGCCCAGGCCGCGGAGACTCCGGCCCTGGAGTTGCCCCTTCCCGCCGTGTCCACTCCGGCTGGGCTCTGAGCCTTCACCTGGGGCTGCTCGGGACTGGGCAAGGCCCCCGGTGGGGCCGTGGCCGGCCAGGAGGGGCTCCCCTGCCATTGCAAGCACGGGACCCCGTCTCTCCTGGGGGCGGGCGGGCCGCTAGGGGGGCTGGGGCTGGCCGAGCGGAGCACCCCCCACCCTGGGACCTCCTGCACGTGGGGCCCCCTTCTGCGCCTCCGCCTCCCCACGAACTGGGTGCTGGGAGGTGTGTGTTGTCCACGGGAACGGGATGGTGCTTTCGCTCCTCGTGGGTCCCGGTCTGGTTCTGTGGAGCACAGCTCTGGGTCTGCTCTGCCCCTCCTGGCCGCTTGAACTCATTCCAGGCCGTGGAAGCTTCTGGCTGGTTGCCGCCTCGTGTTGTGGGAGGGGAGGCAGATTGGCAGTAGTTGGAATTAGGAAAAAGCCACCTGTTTTCCATGGGGCGAGGGTGGGAGAGGGACACGTGCCGAGCCAAGGGGGAGGGGTGGGCCCAGGCTTGTTGGCACAGACGGGCAGAATCATGCAGTGTGCTGAGTCCGGTCATCTGCAGAACGAACCTGGCTTCCGAGGAGCGTCTGAGTGTTTCACCCGGGACCGGCTGGCTGACCCAGAGCCCACAGGCAGGAAGTTGCTCCCCCACTGGCCAGCAGCGCCCCATGTAGCAGGTGTGGCTGAGGAAAGCCCAGGCCACCGACTGGCTGCCTCAGTTTACCCTTGGAGGGGTGTGCTCCCTCTTACTCAGTCGCACCCGCACTTGGCCAAGTGAGGGACTGTTGCACAGTGAGACTTTGACTTATGTAAATAAAAGGTGTTTGGGTAAATCCGGTGGGTGCGCTGTTTATGGGCACGCCTGAGGGGTGGGCATAGTATAAGTGGGCAGGTATCTTCTTAAGGACACTTCTGCTTTGGGGGCCGCGGTCTGGATGCCTGGCCCTGCCCCTGGGAGCAGGGGGGAGACGTCTGTGGGTGCACATGCTGAGGGGTAGCCCCTTTCCATTTTTTCCTTAGGAAGCAGAGATTCAGGCAGGACTCCACCCCCACCCCCCTATGCTGGGATCGTGGGGTGTGGGGAGGGCCTGGACAGTGTCCTCCCCCTCCCCCCCCCCCACTGGCCCCTGGAAGGCCGAGAGTACTGCCAGGCCACGTGGTGGGTAGGGGGCCCAAGGCCGCACGCACCTGCCCCGCACAGAGGAGGGCAGCCGGTCCTGGGAGCCAGGCCCCAGGGCTGGATGGGAGGATGTAGAGAAGCAGTGACCCTGCCTGCCCGAGGGCACCAGACTGAAGGGCAGGCAGGAACATTCATCACCAGAGGCCTGGGAATCCCATATTCTGGAGACAACGGGAACTCTCCAGCCCCGTGACCAACACTTCCCTGATGCACCACGTGCCTGGTGCCACTGTGAGGCGAAGAAGAGTTAGGAGAGGGGACAGAGGCAGTGTGTGGGCAAAGGGAGGCTAAGGGGGTGAGGTCGAGGGACCACAGGCAGGACGGCCGAAGGGCTCGGGAACTGAGGGAGGCAGCACCAGACTAGCCGGACTGCTTGATGGGCCTGGTCTTAGGGAGGGCTGCAGACGGGTCTGGGCCCAGGAGAGGTGCTTCTGGGCCTGGAAGGGCCCAGCTCCGTCGGTCAGAATGAGAAGAGCAGGTCATTCAGGAAGGCCGACTGTGCAGAGATGGGACTAGGGCGGGGGGCAGGGCCCCACAAGCCCCCACCTGCCGCTTCTTTGCCTAAGTCCTTTGTTCTTGGTAAATTGTTGTTGGTAAATTTGCTCCCTGACCAGGACCCTGAGCTACACATGGGGGTCTAACCCCAGGGCTAGAATTTCTGTTCCAGTGTGTTATCCTTGGGATGGGAGGGCTCTAGGCTGGGGGGGGGGGGAGGTTGCAGGGGAAGAGGAGAGGGAGATGGGATGGAGCCCTAGTCCCTGGGAGGGGAGGAGGGGAAAACGAAATGACCCCAGGTTGGGGTCGAGGAGAGGGAGGTGGGGGAGAGGGGAATAGGAAGGGACTGGGGGCACCCAGCTGGGCAGAGGGGCCCGGCCCACCCTCTCTGCTCTTGCCCTACTCCGCTCCATGTGGGGGATCAGGTGCCAGTGCCCCTGGGGAGGCAGGGGTTCCTTGGAAGCTAGACTGAGATGCAGGAGTCTGTGGGATCTCTGGGGAGGGGATGCCCCAAGCCTTGCCAGGTGACCCGGGCCTGGACAGCCAGGAGGGCTGCAGGACTGAGGAGGGTAGGTGACCTGACGGCCAGCCAGGGGACCTGGGCCAGCCAGCCAGGCTCTCCGTCTGGCGCCTCCATCCAGCCTAAGTCCCGCCCACTTGCCACACCCCTGACTCACTTCCTTTGCACAGAAGCGGAAACCTCCCCAGAGTTTCCTCCCGACCTAAGGCTCCCGGGACCTGCAGGTGCTGCTACCCCTCCAGGCCTGAGCTTGCCAGCCAGGCCCCTGACCCCATCGGGACCCTCGACAGGAAGCTGGTATTTTCTGTGTCCTGAGTTGCGGCCTCAGCATCTGGCCTCTGCAGGGGGCCGCCCTTGGTGGGCTGGGGGCCAGCAGGAACTTAACCTGACTCAGCTGCAGGTATGGGGTGGGTTGGAGACCAGGGCATCAGTCCTTCCCTCAGCTCTGTCTCCTCAATGGCCCTTTTCTTCCTCTGGCTCGTGTCTTTGCACCCCACCCTACTAGTGTCTGGGGGCTCTCTGCTGCCACTCCATGTGTGTTCACTGGGGTGCAGGGAGGATCCCTGTTTTGGGGGTGTGGGGGGTGGGAGGCCTGGGCCCATTCTCAAAAGCAGAAGTTCCTGATCGACCCCCCCCCCAAGTGTTCTTAAGTGCACGGGGGATGTCTCTGGATTCTGGCGGTGCCAGGGTCCCTGCTCCCCTTGGTTCCCACTTGGGATTCAGAGAGCCCCTGGCGCCTGGCAGGCCGAGCTGCGGGCGGGAGGGAGGGATGGGCAGCGGGGCCGGGCCTTGACCCTTCTTTACCCCTAATCGGCGCCAGCTAGCACCGACTTCTCCAGGAAGCGGGGTGGTTGCCCGATAAGCTGCGCCCTCCCTGCGCCGACACTTCCTCAAGGCCCGCGGCTGTTCCTGGGAGGACCCGAGAGATTTGCATGGGGCCCTGCGGGGAGCCGCTTCCTGGTCAGCCGGGCGAGGCCGGCACCAGGAGTCACCCTTCCCCCTCGCTCCGCACTCCCTGGGGACCTCCCAGAGGAGGGACGTCGCTCCAGGGAAGGGTCCAAATCGGCCATGCCGACGTCTGGAGACCCTCCCCATCTTCCTGTTGCAGGGAGGGCGACCTGCATGCGGAGCGCCGCCCCTGCGCCATGGACAGCGGCCAGCCCAGTCTGGAGGCCGCGGGCCCCGGCGTCCCCCGCCCGAGCGTGATCGCGCCGCTGCGCGCCGTGGTCCGTCTGCGCCGCCGCGTGTGCCTCCTGCGCAAGCGGCGCCCCCAGCCGCCCGGCTCGGGGTCGGCTTCCGCGCCCGCGGCGCCGCACGCTGACCCGGACCAGCCCCGGTTCTTCACCTTCGACGGCCCGGAGCCGCCGTCCAGGACGCCGCGTAAGAGGCGCCGACGCAGCCGTGTGGTGCTCTACCCGGAGACCTCGCGCAAGTACCGGCCTCACGCGGAGCGCCGTAGCCGCGCGCAGCGCTGCCTCCTGCTGCTCGTGGCCATCGTGGGCTTCCAGGTGCTCAACGCCATCGAGAACCTGGACGATAACGCGCAGCGCTACGACCTCGACGGGCTGGAGAAGGCGCTGCAGCGCGCCGTGTTCGGGCAGCCGGCCGCCGTGGGGCGCATCGTGGCGCTGCTGCGGGACTACCTGGCCACGCACGTGCACAGCCGCCCTCTGCTTCTGGCGCTGCACGGGCCCAGCGGCGTGGGCAAGAGCCACGTGGGTCGCCTGCTGGCGCGCCACTTCCGCGCGGTGCTTGAGGACGGCGCGCTCGTGCTGCAGTACCACGCGCGGCACCACTGCCCCAAGGCGCGCGCTGCGCAGGACTGCCGTGAGGAGCTGGCCCGGCTGGTGGCCGGCGTGGTGGAGCGGGCCGAAGCGGAGGAGAAGACCCCGCTCGTGGTGCTGGATGAGGCGGAGCTCCTGCCCCTGGCGCTGCTGGACGAGCTGCACGGCTTCCTGCAGCCGCAGCGCGCCCACCACTTCCACAACGCCATCTACGTGCTCCTCAGCAGCGCGGGCGGCGCGGAAATCACGCGCTTCGTGCTGCAGAACGCGTCCCGCGCGCTGCCCCCGCGCCCCGCCGGCGCCCGCGGTGCTCACGGCGACTGGGATGCGGTGGCCGCCGTGCGGGCCGAGGAGGAGCTGCGCGCCGGCCTGCGGGCGCTCCTGGTCCGCGAGCACCCGCTGTGGCAGGCCGCGGCCATCGTGCCCTTGCTGCTGCTGGACAAGAGGGCCGTGGTCAACTGCTTCCGGGACGAGATGGCCGGGGAGGGCTTCTTCCCGGAGCAGGCCCAGGCCGAGCTCCTGGCCGCGCAGCTCAAGTACTACCGCGTGGCTGGCCGCGAGTTCGCCGTCACTGGCTGCAAGCAGGTGGTGGCCACGGTGAACCTCTTGTAGCAGGGGCCCGGCTGGACACGGCGGACGCTTGTGGGCACGAGGGGACATCTTGGGGACATCTCGGTCGTTGGTGGTAGTAGGAGGGAGGGGACCCTGTGGATTTGCCTGAGGCCCCTAATAAATCTGTTTATAGCCCCCACCGCCCTCCCTAACCCGCGGTTCACGCTGGGAGGCTGGTGGGGGTGGCTCCGCTCCGAGCCCCCGCTTCGAGTCACAGTTCCCCCATCAGTGCCCCCAGTCTGCCACCTCCCGGCCCTAGCCCACATTCCTAAGCACCTGCTGTGTGCCCCTCATCGCAGGCCTCGGTACAGAGGCTGTATGGCCTCAGAGAAAGTAGCTCCCAGGGTCACCTAGTTGGTCCCCTGCGGCCGGATATGGCTGCAGCAGCCATCAGACACACACACACACACACACACACACACACACACACTCTCTCTCTCTCTCCCTCTCTCAGTCTGCGCCGCAACCCCCTCCCCACCCTGTGGGACCAAAGTCCTGGGTGCTTCTCCAACCAGGAGAATGGCATGGACTCCCCGGATTTCTCCCGGACTCTGGGGCCCAGGAGCTCCCTGGGAGGCAATAGGGGGGATGGGAGTCCACACACAATGAATGGATCCATTGGAATCCCCTGAACGCTCTGGAAGGTGGGGGGATCTCGGGGTGCCAGCGGTAGATGGCAGGGCCCAAGTTGGGGGGGGGGCGCTGACTTCTCTGATCCCCCTGCCCTGGCCACCAGCTGGCTTCAGGTCGCTGACTGGGGGAGGCCTG